GGCACATGCTCTCAATGGAAAGAGACAGAGACTGGGGAGGATGAGAAAGCACCCCGCCCCGTGGGGGATGGCCACACTAAAGGCTCTTCTGTCTCGCTCTTTTTGGGATTTCGGACTTGCGTGCACACTCGCCCTGGGTGTTCTTCAAGCTCCTGCACAGGTGGCCGTGTAGGATCCAGCTGCCTTAACCATCAGGCCGCAGGCTGGTCTGGGCCACTTTTTGCTAATTCATGAGGTTCCTTGTGGGTTCGAAGGCCCTGGATTGGGACTGTTGAATAGAGGAGAGTTCTAAGGACAGGAACTTAGAAAATGTCTGTCAGTGGGTAGGAGAAGGGCAGAGAATAAGCATTTAGAATGAGGGTAATCATTTCCTTCATGAGAGAGAGAGAGAGAGACAGGCAGCTAGAGATGAGAAGGTACCCTTGATAGGTCCTCACTTTGTGATTTTTTTTTTTTTTTGAGAGGTTTTCCCTATAGGGCGCATGCGCTCGCCAGACAGACAGAGAGACAGAAAGCGAGAAATCACGCCCCAGGGGAGATGGCCACGCCGCAGTCCCTTCTCCTCCATTCTCCTCTCGGGATCTTGGGCGTGCACGCACATGTGCCTGGCATGAGTTTAAGCTGCCGGGTCCGGGACACTGACTGTGGTGGACTACGTGGGAGTCCAGCGACACAGTCACTACGCCAACTGCTGGTCCCTCACTTCGTGATTCTTTAGCCTAGCCCTGCGGCCAGCCAGGACCCCTGATCCACATGGTGTTCTCATGCACTCAGACAGGCCTGGGACGTGAACCTGGAGCCCTCCTTGGCAGCCTCCAGCATCAAGCAGCTAGCCCCTCTGCACCACCATGGCTGGGCTGAATCATTCTTCAATAGAAGGCAATGGGCAGTGTTTTTATTTATTTATTTTTTTTGTTTTGTTTTGTTTTTTAGGTTTTTGCTATGGGGCATTTGCACTTGCCAGAAAGACAGACAGACAGAAAGTGAGAAATCACCCTCTGGGGGCATGGCCACGCTGCAATCCCTTCTCCTCCATTCTCCTCTTGGGATGATGGGCGTGCACGCACACACGCCCGGCATGAGTTTAAGCCACCGTGTCTGGGACTGGAACCACGGTCAGCTATATGGGAGTCCAGCAACATAGTCATTACGCTAACTTCTGGTCCTGGCAATGGACAGTTTTAAAGACATTCCACATTTAAATCTATGGTTAAAAATAAAAGAGCTGGTCGCTAGATGGAGTTAAGAAAGGGTGTGCACTGGCAATAGCTTAGTAACAAGAAGGTCCTTTATTCGCTGCGTTAGGTGGAGTGACTGTGTAGAGAGGAGGGTGGAGACCAGTGGCTAGTCCTCCATTCATTCATTCACTCTTCCGTCTAACACAAGTGAAAAGGATCTGGAAAACAAATTTTAGCGGCTGGGTTCCTGTTGGCCTGTGAACCACCGAACGTGGTTCCTTCCTACCGAGGGAGCCCACGTCTGACACGCTAGAGAAGTGAGGAGAGGGTGGCGGTAAGTGCTGCAGCAGGGCTGTGTGAGGGGGAGGGGGAGGGGGCCACCGTCCCCTTGGAGGTAGTTTTGGAAGTTTGGTAGCCGTTCAGCACTCACCACTAGGTACCGTCAAGGGCTTACCAGTGTGCCCCCCCGGCCCGGGCACCTTGGATCTGTCTGGGAATGGATAAGCAAAGAACCGGGCTCTTTACAGCCTGTGTTCTTGCAGAGGAAGACAGAATGGCAGTGCACATCGGCCACAGCGCGTGTCAGGGTAAGTGCCGCAGGGGTGGAAGAGCAAGGGCAGGGGCAGGGCGCTAGGGCTTTTTATTTCTTTTCTGGCGGGGGATGTCAGTGTTAAATTCTAAAGTGGGACAGAGTCTACTGAGAACACTGGACATTGTCAGAGCAATTGTAAACCTACATGAAAGTGGCGAGAACAGTATGGTGAACCTCCACCTGCTTATCGTTCAGATACACCAAGTTTGTTTTGGAAGTTGGGTAGCCGTTCAGCACTCACCACTAGGTACCGTCAAGGGCTTACCAGTGTGCCCCCCCCCGGCCCGGGCACCTTGGATCTGTCTGGGAATGGATAAGCAAAGAACCGGGCTCTTTACAGCCTGTGTTCTTGCAGAGGAAGACAGAATGGCAGTGCACATCGGCCACAGCGCGTGTCAGGGTAAGTGCCGCAGGGGTGGAAGAGCAAGGGCAGGGGCAGGGCGCTAGGGCTTTTTATTTCTTTTCTGGCGGGGGATGTCAGTGTTAAATTCTAAAGTGGGACAGAGTCTACTGAGAACACTGGACATTGTCAGAGCAATTGTAAACCTACATGAAAGTGGCGAGAACAGTATGGTGAACCTCCACCTGCTTATCGTTCAGATACACCAGTTTCTAAAATTTTGCCACTTTTCTTTTGTATTTTTTCTTTTTTTCCTTTGTGAGAGAAAGAGGGGGCAGAGGGCGTAGAAAAGGGAGATGGGAAAGAGACAGTGATAGGCATGTTTGACAGGTCTTGCTGTGTGATCTCACCCCAGCTTCACAATGAGCCAGGACTGCAGGCACGCCCAGGAGTGCCCGGAGTGTTCAGGTTGGCTGGGAACTGAGCCTGGGCCTCCTGCGTGCCTTCTAGCCTCCTAAGCTGTGGCATCACCTTGTGCGCTGTAACTGGGCCAAAGGCTTTTATTTTTCTTTTTTTTTTAAAGTTTGTTTCTTCTGTGAGGTGGGAGGGAGACAGGCAGACAGGCAACCCTAACGGAGTCTCTTCATGCCACAATCCTACCCCCAGCCTCAGCCAGTCATGAACACGGACACTCACACATGCAAGCAGCATGAGCAGGAAGACCTCATGTGGACTGGGACCCTCCCGTAAGTCCTCAGAGCTGTGGAGTGCTGGGTTACTGCTGCAGCCTCTAGACTGATATTTTAAACCTGACCCTGACACAACATCATTTTGCCCCTATAGACCTTGTGGAGTTTTCTTGCATAACCGTAATGACATTATTGCAACTAATAAACCCAATAAAATAGGAGGGGCATTCGAGCCAAGCCTGGGGAGCATGCCTGGCATGTTTGAGGAGCTGCACAGTCCGGTGTAGCTGAGGCACAGGGAGGGCTGATAAGAGATGAGTCTTGTAGGCGCCTCAAGTAACGACTCTACTTTGAGTCCAGTGGGCAGCCACGCCAGGGTTTTGAGCAGAGGAGTGACAGGTTTGACTTTGTGTCTAAAAGCTAAGTGCTCTGTTGAGAGTGGACTCTAGGGGACCCAGATGAGGGGGAGCTCAGGCAGGAAGTGGTTGGTGGTTGGAAGGTGTGGGCAGGCTCAGTGCTTCCTCCAGGTGGTGGTGGTGGCGATGGCAGGCCTGGGTTTTGGCTATGTTTTGAAGGTGGAGGTAACTGGATTTCCCGACTGACTGGAGAGGGATGGAAAGGCCATAAAAAGACACAGACTTCTGGCTTGCGTCACTAGAAAGATGGAGCAGGTTTGGGTACCATCAGGAATTTAGTCTTGGGCGTGCTACCCCTGCGGGTCGGTGTCCGGATGGGGATAGGGCTGGGTTAGGGGAGAGGTAGCGAAGGTGGTGTGTGCTAACAGTGGTTTACGCCGTGGTAGCAGTGGCCAGAAGTTGTTTGTATTTAAACTGTTGACTTAATGATTTAGAGTTCTGCCAGTTTGTCTTTCAAGAAGTGTTAATGAAATTCACAATTATATTTTTTTATTTTTTTGAAATCATTCTTCCTGGTTGGCAGAGAGAGTAAATTAAGTGAATAGTATCACTAAAGAAATATTATTACACATGCCTTTAAAAAATTAATTATTTAATTTTATTTAGTATTATTATAATTGTTTAATTTGACCAGAGAGTGACAGAGAGACAGGGAAAGTGAGAAAGCAAGCCGCCAGCCAGGTCTGGAACTCGCTTAGCCATGTGGGAGTCCCGTGTCTTAACCACCATGTCACCTACCGACCCATGTGTCCCTTTAAAAAAAACATGATTTTTTCCTGAGAGAGAGAGAGACAGAGACAGAGACAGAGACAGAAATAGGTAGGGAGAGGGTGAGGGCAAGGGCAGAGGAAGCGGGGGAGGGGCGGGAACCCTGTACAGGGTTCCCACACACTGTGACCCCTTACCCCAGCCCTCTAGCTCTTCGGGACCTTGGGCTGGTGTACATCTGAAACCACAGGCAGCCATGTGGCTTCCAGCTCCTGACTGCACCGTGGAGGCTGGGTCTGCTCACGTGCCTTTTGTCGAGATGGAAAGTATTTATTTGTATGTTTCCTGGGGTCACTAGAGGTTGTCCCAGGGTCCTTTGGAAATACTGATTAACTCAGAGACATGTACAGAATCTGACAAGAAAATCCCTTGAGGTGATAACTTTAGGGTGACCATTGAAGGCCCTTAGAGCCCCTCCTTCTTCCTTACCCTGAACTCACTAAAATTTGGATTTAAAAAAAGAATAGAGCCTCTCTTCTCTTAAAAAAAGAGTAGAGCTATGGCTTTCTGATACTTTAAAAACGGACAGGCTTAGGAACCCCGTTCAGTAGTTACATTGCTTTCTTTCTACCTGTAGACCCTGCTGAGAGTTTGGTCATCGGTAAGCAGGTGGTGGTCACTCTGGAGGTCGATGCTGGGGAAACGGTGTCAACACCGATGCTTCCAATAGCTTCGTGGTGGTTTTTAGAAAGAGAACATTTTCAATGTCCTTTTGGGTCGTTCTGATTGCGTGTCTTGGGGTAAGTGGAAGACTGACTCACCACGATGGGCCGTAGTTCCAGCAGCTGCTGTGGCTGCCGGGGGCCGGTTTAGGTAAGGAGGTGTCTGGGCAGGGAGCCCCTTGCTCCGAATGGTTGGATTCGCTACAGTGCAGTCTGTGTCCCGTCCCACAGGGAAAGGTGTATCTCACACTGCGGGCAATTGCCATTTGTATACAATTACCCTAGCTCTCCTCCTCTCAAAAAAAATGAGTTAGAAGGAAAAAAGGTTACTCTCTTTTTTGCTTTTTTTGTGTAGGAGATGCATCGGAGATTCGAGAATGCCCCTGATTCTGCCAAAACCAAAGCTTTGCAGACTGTTATTGAGATGAAGGTAAGTAAGGACCCAGTCACCTGATGGGCCACGCCCACTCTCCAGTGATCACTTTCTCCTGTGGGGTTTAGAAATGATACATAATAATATTCCACTCATTTTGGAGAGAGAGGAAGTTGGTAAGACTTAATGAAAATGACATCTTGCTGTTTGCCACATACCACGTCTGGGTAAGCGTAGTTTGGCAGTTGCTCTGTCAAATAAAAGTAGTGACCCATGGAGAAAGCGCCTGATCCAGCTCGCAGCCCAAGAGCATCCAAGTTCTGTCTG